GTCGTGGCAGATGGCGCGTTGTTGTATGCGAACTTGATGAGAGGCAGCTGCTACTCCCATGTGTTTGGATCGTCACACGTGGCTCGAATGAGCTGCTCCATAGTCTGGTTTGTCCGTTCTGTCTGTCCGTCGGTTTCGGGATGATACGATGAACTGAATTGAAGTCGCGTGCCGAACTGTTGCCACAAGTTCCGCTAGAAATTACTGGTAAACTTCGTGTCCCTGTCGCTGATGATCGACGCTGGTATCCCGTGCAGTCGAACGACGGTGGCGATGAAGAGTCGGGCTGTTTCCTCGGCTATGATTGATTTCCTGCATGCTGCGAAATGTGCCATTTTCGTTAGTCGATCGACGACGACCAGGATCGCGTCATTCCCACTCGCCCCGGCCGGTAACCCCGTGACGAAGTCCATCGTCACCTGCTGCCAAGCACGCTCTGGAGGTGGGATTGGTTGTAATTGTCCCGCCGGCCGCTTCCTGGTTGACTTCATGAGTTGGCAAGTGGGACACGATGCCACGTGTCGTTGCACGTCGGTCAACATTTCCGGCCAGTAATAGTACCGCTGCAGCTGCTGCCGTGTTTTTTCTACTCCGAAATGTCCCGAGGTAACTCCGTCGTGTGCCTCCTGTAACAGTAGTTCCCTTAGTAGCGTGTACCCTGGTACCCAGATGCGGTCGGATCCAGCTTTTACGTAATAGACTCCCTTGGCTGCTGCGAATTGCTGTGAATTTCCTCCTGTGAAGAATGGGTCTGTTTGATATTCGTGGGTAAATAGTCCTGTCAGTAACGGGCTGTTCTGGGCGAGTAGGATCGCATGGATTTGGGCAGTGGGGCGGGTCAGTGCGTCGGCGATATTCGAGGCTCCTTTTTTATATGTGACCGTATAGTGGAAATTCAACTCGAGGAAGTCGAGCCACCGAATCTGTCGTGGGTTGAGGTGGGGCTGTGCGCGAAGGTACTGTAGGGATCGATGGTCTGTCCGTACTGTCACGTCTGCGCCGGTCAAGTAGCAGCGCCACACTTTGAATGCATGCACGATCGCGAGCATTTCGCGGTCGTGTATCGGGTAATTTCGCTCAAGTGGATGTATCTTGCGTGGTTCGTAGGCGATGGGTTGGAGGCCGTTGCCGAAGTCCTGTAACAGTACGGCTCCGATGGCGATGTCACTTGCGTCTGTAACAACTTCGAAGGGGCGGTGTGGGTCAGCGATGCGTAGGACGGGTGGTGAACAGAGAACATTTTTCAGGGCAGAGAAGGCAGCATGCTCTTTCTCCCCCCACGTAAAAGGGACCCCCTTACGCAGTAAATCAGTGAGCGGGGCTGTTAAGCGTGCCATGTCGGGGACGAATCGACGAACGTAATTAACAAACCCTAAAAAACTCTGCCGTTCCGTGATGTTCGTCGGGGGATGCCACGCTTTTACGGTATCCAGCTTCTTAGGGTCTATCTCAACCCCAGCCTCCGAAATGACGTGACCCAAAAACTCTAGCCTGTCCCGAAAAAACTCGCACTTGGAGCCCTTGGTGAGGAACCGATGTGCCTCTAAAATTTTAAAAACTGCTTCGAGATCTACTAAGTGCTGTTGCTGGTCCCGACTGTAAACGAGGATGTCGTCGAGGTAAACTATGACGCATTTATCTAAAAGTGGTCTAAACGCCTCGTTCATGGTCATCTGAAATGTTGCAGGCGCGTTGGTCAGCCCGAAAGGCATCACCGTGTACTCGAATGACCCGTACCTAGTCCTAAATGCTGTCTTGGCGCAGTCCGATGGTTCGACCCGAATTTGATGGTAACCTCCCCGTAAATCTATTTTCGAAAATACTCGTGCGGTTCGCAGCTGGTCGATCAGTTCGTCGGCGCGGGGGATGGGGTATCGTGATTTTACTGTTACCCTGTTAAGCGCTCGGTAGTCGATGCACATGCGAAATCCTCCGTCTTTTTTCGGTGTGAACAGTATCGGTGCGGCGAACGGTGACGAGCTCGGTCGGATAAACTGCTTCTCTAACAGGTAATCTAACTGCTTCCTTAGCTCGTCGAGCTCGGGCTGTGTCAGTCGAAATTGGCGCTGTACAGTTGGCTGTGCCCCCGGTTCTAATTCGATCCTATGGTCATGCGCCCGCTGAGGTGGCAGCCCTTGCGGTAAGTCATCCGGAAAGATACCCGGGAACCGTTTCAGTAGTGCCTATAGTTCGGGTGGTACGGCTGCCAACAGTTTCTGCAAATCACTTGGCTGCTCCTCTTTTTCTACTAATGCGATATCCACTGCGTACACGTCAGCTCCAGCAGCGAGAGCCCGTTTCATCGTGATGGCGTTGACCTGGACCGTCGAAGACTCGGGTGGCTGCCAGGGAGGTAGGACGACCCAGTTACCACTACTTCGCACTGTGCAGCTACCCGTCGTCTAGTCAATTCGTGGGTTATACCGTCGCAGCCAATCACGTCCCAATAAAATGTCGTGCCCATCCAGTGTCGTTGCGAGCATTTCCTGTGTAAACCCGAAGTTCCCTCCGCAGCGGACTTTTACTCTCTCCACCTTTTCCCGTATAGCCAGTGGCGTGCCGTCGACTAAGCGTGCATCTATTTCAGGTAAGCATCGGTTAAGTGTTAACTGTAATTTCCGTGTGGTTGCGGTATTAACTAAGCTGTGACTTGCTCCTCCGTCAACAAAAATCTTCACTGCTGCTCCCTGTATTTTCCCGTAGATTAGTACCGGGCAATCCGTCGCTGTACCCTCCTTATTCATCCGAGCCCGATCGATGGCATGAATCGGTACTGTGACTCGGTGAGGGTCGGTGTGGTTGGGCGAGCAGGCAGTCTCGTCAGTAGTTGGCCCAACTTCTACTGACTGCTAGCGTTTCCCTGCCTCTGAGACTCCCTCCCCTGCTCTGCTCCTCGGCGCCTCAGCTCCTCTGGGCATTCGCTCTTGCGATGGCCCGGCCTGTTGCAAGCAAAGCAGCGCCCCTTAAACGGTGCGGCAGCTGCATTCGTTGCGACGGCGTGTACAGTGGCGTGCTCGGTCGGTCCCCGAGGACGATGTCCGTAATAGGACCCCGGTCTCGGTCGGCATAGAATGTCGATCTTCTCGGCGAGCGCGAGACCCTCGTTGAAATTAGAGAGTCCGCGCAGCATTATCTCGTGCGAGATGTCCGCCTTCAGCCCTCCGACGTAACGGTCCACCCGTTCCGCTTCGTGCATGTAGCCGACCTGCTCGCAAAGTGCGAGAAAACCGCTGGTATAGTTTTGAACTGACCCGAGCTGGCGCCAAGTGCGCAGTTTCTGACGCGCCGAAATTGAAGCCGCGATCGGCTCAAAGCGCGCCCGAAGCCCTGCGCACCACGCATCCCACGTGCTGTATTGGGCGGTCTCGCAGAACGAACTCCAGGTGACAGCTGGACCCGAGGGCCCTTCCTCGTGCGACGGTGGCTCATAGGCGCGTGGCGACGTCACGATGACTCGCCACCAGTCCATGGCGGGGCCCCTTAGCAGTGAAACCGCATACCGGATCTTTGCGGCGTCCGACTCGACGTAATTGGCGTCGAAGAAGTCGTTCATCGTGAAGACCCACGATTGAATTGTCGGACCGCCGCGTTGACTTGGGTCGAAGCAGGGCGGGCGTTGCGGCTTGAGCGGCATTGGTGCCATGTTGGATTGTTCGCCACTTGTCGCCGCAAATTCCACGTGCCGACGGACTTATCGAGGCTCCCGTGGGCTTGGTGCGATCCTGTTTCCTCCCATGCCAGGCATCGGCTGAGCGACGCCCTCACTGGCTGCGCCTGAGCGTTGTCCCGTGCTGTCGTGTTGTGTTGGTGTGCCGGACGAGATGATGATCGGCTCATCCGAATGTGCAGATGCGGTTGTTGGTGCGTGGGATGTCGTCGGTATGTTTATCGTGGATTGTTGACGGGCGGAGTCACGTTCCGCCGTGAGGGTCGCGATTTCAAGCGCCGAATCCTCCAGTTGACGCACGAGACGATCAAGTTGCTCCTGCGTCAATGTGGCGAGCGTGAAGTCGGCCATGGCGGGGGTGTCGGGCAAGCTCAGCGAGAGCCTCGGTCGTGGCCGTGCGTGCTTACGAGAGAGCACTACGAGCGGCGGTGCTGTATCGCTGAGAGACGTCTACCCCCCCCCAAAAAATTGAGATAGTGCGGAAGCGAAGGTGTGAATGCGGTTCGAGATGGGATCGTAGGCTCTAATACCAAGTGTTATGAGTGCAATTGAGTGAACGAACGAGAATTGCACTATCGAAGCAAGAGTACAATGAGCGAAGGTATGAGCGAAGACTATATAGCGAAACTACAGTGGTAACGGTAATGGTCGCGCGACGAGCCTGGGACTGAGGTTGGGAAAGTGTCGAAGCGTAGGCCCGGAGCGCGGGTTACCAGCCGAGCCGTGAGGTCGGGATGCGATGTGCGAAAATGGCGGGATGATGAATGATGCGATGGTCGCGAGTGGTAACGGTGCTGACTGAGGTGCTACAGTGATGTACGCGTTGAGTAGGGATGCGAAGTAAGGAAAAGGGAATTTCCTTACAGTTGTGGTTATCTAGATGCGGGTTCCCCCAAAAGTGTATGCTCACAATAAAAGCACCCCCTGTACTGTTTCTGTAAAGGCAGTTCCAAGTACCTACCGTTATCACCAATCTTATCTAGGTGAGCACTTAGTATTTTCTGCTTCAAGACCCGTCAAAGGTGGTGTGACATGGCTAATGTTCAGAGTGATGACAAATACGGTAAGTCCATCATAGGTACTGGTATATGCCAATGGTCTCATGTCATGCATTCACTAATTCATTTTACTAGTTTCCAACTGTAAGAGCCGCAGAAATTAAATTGTTCATCCAAAAACGTATACACCAGTCATGCTTGGTTGAAACACGCAGGAGCAGCAGCCCAGTAGGATTGGCCACTGCAGTTCTCCCTATCACACGCAGCAAACACCCCACCAAATACCAACTAGGCAGCCCCAAATTCCTCCCTCCTACCTCATTACACCCCTCCATTCAAGTCGCCTCCCTCACTCCTGGATCTGCTTCCTTCTCAAACTCCCCTGTAAACCTTCTCTGTCGCATGCCCTCAACACTAACTGGTTTCCTCCAAATGCTCTTCCCGACCCCATCCACATCATCCAACAGCTTGGAAAATTGTTTTGGAAGCCGGGCAGCCAAAAAACCATCAACGTCAAATTCCTCCACCTCATCCCCATACTCGTCCAGGAGAGCAGCAGAACCCCCCTCTGCCTCCCCGGCTGCAGCACCACTGCTGCTGGCACCCTCCCTGCTGCTACTGTCACCGCTGCTACCACTGTTGCTGCTGCTGCTGCTACTTGAGACGTCGGCTCGAGAGGAGGAGAATGGCATGGGGCGTGTGGGGCTGAAGAGGGCTTTCATGCGGTCGATGGCTGGCCCGATGATTCCCCCTAGGTCCCATGAGGTCGGCTCCACCACTTCAGTGCGCTGTTTGGCAGTGAGAACAAAGAAAAAAGGGGGGGGGGGGGGGGGGGGGAGCAGGGGTGAGAGAGGGGAAGAGGGGGGCGTGTGGGGCTGAAGAGGGATTTCATGCAGTCGATGGCTGCCCGATGATGCCTCCCAGGTCCCATGAGGTTGGCTCCAACACCTCAGTGCGCTGTTGGGTGGAGAGAGTGAGGTGAAGGGAGGGGCACAAAACAGGATGAGGGAACGAGATGAGTGGCCTGATGATTCCCCCAAGGTCCCACATGGTTGGTTCCACCACTTCAGTGCGCTGTTGGGCAGAGAGTCACACCAGTGACGTACCCTCACACCCTCCACCCCTACCCCTGCGGTGACAAATCCTCATCCTCACCTTCACCCTCACCCCCATCCCGTGTAATGACCTACCTGCAGAAGCCGCATGAGCCGGAGCTCCTCTGCCCGCACAGCAGTCCCCTGCCTCTCCTCCATAGCAGCCCACAAGGCCGTCACCCTGTCACCTGTTCCAACTCAAACCCTCGCAATCCACGCTCGCTCTCCGCAGCAACCTACCTGCTGCAGGCGCATGAGCCGGAGCTCCTCTGCCCGCACGGCGTTCCCCTGCCTCTCCTCCATTGCGGCCCACGAGCGCCACACCACTGAGTTGCCGGAATCTGCTACAGTCGACTCAAGAGTCCAACCTGAGATCCATCCGCTGCAGTGAAATACCCACACCACACCGTTGACTTACCCGCTGCAAAAACCCACCTGCTGAAGGCGCATCAACCGAAGTTCCTCCGCCCGCACGGCGTTCCCCTGCCTCTCCTCCATTGCGGCCCACGAGCGCCACACCACCGAGTTGCCGGAATCTGCTGCCAGTGCTCTTTTGAACAGCGCTCTTGCCAGGCCTATGTTCCCCTCCCGCTCCTCCAACACGGCCCATGCCTGTGGGGTTGAGGGAATGGGAGGAGGGTGGGAACAGGAGGGAGAAGTGCAGTAAAGGTGATGAGCAGGCATGCTACAGTCTGCTTTCATTGCTCTCATGAGGTCTCTTGCCAGGCCTGTATTGCCTTCACCCTGCTCCAATACAAATGGTTGGGTCAGCTCAGACTTAGGATGGCAGGGCGCAGTTATTCTTAGGAACATATAGCAACCCCCTTCCTGAGTCAACAATCTGGCAGCTTTTGGCGAGGCGTCATTGCCCTCCAACTGGAGTCTGGCTGGAGTCTGGTAGACTGCTCCTCCTTTCTTGACTTTATTGACTTGCTTGACTCACCTGGGCGAGGAGTCATTGCCCTCCACCGCCCTCTGGTAGAGCGACTGCTCTGATTTATTTGACCTTCTTGACTTGGATGACTCACTTGACACTCGCTTGACTTTGTTGACTTGGAACACTCTGGCTGCGTTGGGCGAGGAGTCGTTGCCCTCCACTGCCCTCTGGGAGAGCTCCCTTGCTCTCTTGACTTTGTTGACTTGGTTGACTTGCTTGACTCACCTGGAACACTCTGGCAGCGTTGGGCGAGGAGTCATTTCCCTCCACTGCTCTCTGGTAGAGCTCCCTTGCTCGCTGCACCCGCCCCTCCTTCCACTCCATCCACCCCCATGCCTGGTAGACCGACAGGGAGGATCAGGAGGAGGAGAGGGAATGCGGAAGAAGGAGGCAGGGGAAGAAGGAAGGGGAGGATTGAAGGAGGCAGGGGAAGAAGGAAGGGGAGGATTGAAGGAGGCAGGGGAAGAAGGAAGGGGAGGATTGAAGGAGGTACAGCTCTCATTCCTCCTTCCACTCCACCCATCCCGATGCCTCCTGCCAGACAAGCGCGTGAAACGGAGGCGTTGGGAAGGTAAGTTTTATGAGACATCTCAGAAATAACCTATCTGCACGTGGCCACCCATCCCGATGCCCTGGCAGACAAGAGCGTGAAACGGGGGCGTTGGGAAGGTAAAAGACAAGAGGGGTAGCCACACTCAAACTCCAGCAGAGCCAGCGCCTGCAGCATCGCATCATCCCTTACACTGCTCAACACACCTTAGCACCCTTCTGCACCGCACTCCACTCACCGTCCACACAGGCTGGTGGTTGGGATCAACAAGAGAAGCCTGGCTGAACAGCTCCCTTGCTGTCCCTGTAAAGCCGCACTCATACTCCAGCAGAGCCAGCGCCTGCAGCAGCGCGGCGTCCTTGGGGTTGAGCTGCGCCCCCCGCTGCAGCAGCAACCTCCCCCGGTCGTACCTCCCCTGCGCTGCTTCAAACAGCCCCCACGCCTGCCATGTGTAGGGGTTCTTGGGACTGGCATTCAGAGAACGCTGGGAGGGGGGTGGAAGAGGAGGGGAGAGAAGGGGTGGACACGGGTAGTGGGGACAGAGGGTAGAGGGCGAGGAAGGACTTGAGAATGAGAGTGCGGGGAGTGAGGCCTGAGCTGCTTCAAACGGCCTGAGCTGCTTCAAACGGCCTGAGCTGCTTCAAACGGCCTGAGCTGCTTCAAACGGCCTGAGCTGCTTCAAACGGCCTGAGCTGCTTCAAACGGCCTGAGCTGCTTCAAACGGCCTGAGCTGCTTCAAACGGCCTGAGCTGCTTCAAACGGCCTGAGCTGCTTCGATGCCTGCCACGTATAGGGGTTCTTGGGACTGGCATTCAGGGAACGCTGGGGGGGTTGGAGGGAGGAATGAGAGAGGAGGGAGGAATGAGAGAGGAGAGAGGGTAGAGGGCGAGGAAGGACTTGAGAGAGAGCGCGGGAGTGAGGCCTGAGCTGCTTCGAGCAGCCCCCACGCCTGCCACCTGTAGGGGTTCTTGGGACTCGCATTCAGGAACCGCTGGGGAGGGGGGGTGAGGGGGATGAGGAGGAGAAGTGAGAGGCGAGCAGAGGCGGGGTCTCCCTGTTGTGCCGACTTTTAAGGCGCCTCAAGTGAAGTGAGAGGCGAGCAGAGGCGGCGTCTCCCTATTGTGCTTCCAGCAGCGCCCATGCCAGCCAGCTGGCAGTGCTCTTGGCGTTCATGATCCATCCTCAGAAGAGGGAAGCAGGGGAAGGTGACACCTAGAGCAGGATCAGCAGGGGAAGGTGCTGCTTGGAACAGCGGCAACAGACGCACCTGGAAGAGCAGGGGAGGGCGCACCTGGAAGATCAGAGGAAGGTGGTACCTGGACGAGCAGGGGAAGGTGGTACCTGGACGAGCAGGGGAAGGTGGTACCTGGAAGAGCAGGCGGGCAGAGGCGCCATCTCCCTGCTGAGCCTCCAGCAGCGCCCATGCCAGCCAGCTGGCGGCACTCTTGGCGTTCATCCGTGTGGCCTGCAGGAAGAGCGCCCTTGCCTCTGCCACTCGCCCGCTCTGCACCTCCATCACTGCGAGAGTCTGGGAAAAAACGGTGTGAGGAGGGGGTGAGGAGAGAGGGGAAAGGGGTTCATCCGCGTGGCCTGCAGGAAGAGCGCCCTCGCTTCTGCCACTCGCCCACTCTGCACCTCCATCACTGCCAGAGTCTGGTGGGGTGGAGGTTGGATGGAGTGGGGTGAGGTTCGGTGAAGGGGAGTAAGAGGGTGGTAAATGGTTTTCTGGGGTGTGTGGTGGGTGCATAAGACACAGCTGGCAGCGCTCTTGGCATTCATCTGCATGCACACATGGGATGGGAGGCACTTCCCATGTACTCACATACTCTTCTTAGGACATGCACTGCATGAACGTTCGCAGTACTCCTCCTATACTCACATACTCTTCTTAGGACATGCACTGCATGAACTCGTTATAGGACGCACCTGGTATATGTACTCGTTCCCGCCGCACAGCTTGAGCCCCTTCTGCAGCAGCTCCCTCGCCCGGCGCACATTCCCCTGCTTCAGCTCCAGCACCGCCCACCCATGCCATGCTGCCACGTGTCTCTCATCTGCCACCGTGGCAGCATCAAACAGCTTTCGAGCCTTCTCCACGTTGCCTGCTTGCGCCTCCAGCACAGCCCAGGTCTGGGAGAGGGGGGTCAATTGGGGGAGAGGGGGGAAATATGTGAACACAGGAGGAGAAGGAAAGTTCAGAGGAGGGTATGAAAGGGAAACGAGAAGGGAATGCAAAGGCATTGGGGCGAGGGATCGAAGAAGTGGACGAAGTTGAGGCATGGGTCAAGGCATGGGTCGAGGAATCCCATGGGGAGGATTTTGACAAAGGGGATGAGCGGGGGAAGAGACAAAGAATGTGCATGTCCTTACTCTCCTCCTTACAAGCCCTACTTCTCCATCCCCTCCTCTGTGCCCCTCCCCTTCCCCCACACGCCAATTCCCCGTCCCCCACGCCCTTTTCTCCCCACCCCTCCCCTCCCGCCGCACCTGCCAAATGAACGCGTTATCCCCGCCCAGCGCCTGGCAGCCATCCTCAAAGACTCCGCGCGCTTCTCCCAGCCTGCCCTTCCGCTGGAGCATGCGTCCCAGCACCACGTACGGGCGCCCGTCGTCCGGCCAGTCGCGCACAGCCTGGGACATGGGGCAAGGTGAAAGCGGAAAGGGGAAGGTGAGGTGAAGAGCGTGAGGTGGTAAGCGGAAGGGGGAAGCTGAGGTAGGGAAGGTGAGGGTGGTAAACGGAAGGGGGAAGGGGGAGAGAGAGGGCAGTGCTGGGGGAGGTGGAACTCAGACGGGGTATCAATTGTCGGCCGCCGCCAAGGAGTCTTATTCTTGGCAAAAGGCGTCTGAAAGTCACAAGCGCTGCTGTGCTGACCATTATGTTCCTTTCCCTCATCTACCCTCCCTCCCATTCATCCCGTTGAGCCCCCTTCCCACTTTTTCCCCCCCATTCCCCTTTCTTCCTCCCCTCCCGCCTACTTCCCCACTCCCACCCTCCCATTTCTCCTAATTCCCCCTCCCCTTCTGCCCCCGCCCTTCCGCCTACCTTGCGCATGAGCCCTTCCGCGTCTTGCGCCTTCCCAATGCGGAACAGGTTGCGCGCGCGGTAAATGTCAAGGTCCAGGTTGATCTTCAGCCGCTTGGGTTCGTCGTTCTTCGGAGCGGGCGGAGCCCACCGCAGCGCCCCGCGCAGTGCCGCGGCCGCCCCCGGGGGAAGCTGGCTCAGACCGCCTGGGCGGAGCGGTAGGGGGATGTGTAGAGTAGGGGGTGCGGGGGGGGGGAGAGAAAGGGGGGTGGGTTGGAAGGGCATGGAGAGGGGTATGCGGGATATGATGAGGGATTGGAATAGGGACGGACGGAAAAGGTCGTTCTTTGGGAAGCATTTAGTTGATACGGCCAAAGGGGAAGGGAAAAGGCAAAGTGGAGGCGAGAGGTGAAGAGAGGAGTGACGCATGGGAGAGGAGGGCATTCGGAGAAAAAAAACTGTAGCGTTCTTCAAAACTGTAGGTTCTGGGATTTGAAAGTGGGTGGGAGCACAAGAGTCACACAACAAATAAGTTCAACAGACTCAACCAGTCAGAGTTACTTAGTCTCGGCGAATACAGCTACGGGGAACGCAAAAGTGAGTCAAATGGGAGAACGACGTCCGCGAGAGCGGAAGGAGAAAGCAGCATCCAAGACTGTTCACCGCCGTTGCTGATTCGACGGATTAAACGACACTGCTCGCTTGCAACCTAAACACTGGCAGAAACAACGGGTGTGACCTACCGTCGTTGCCAATTCCGCGGCTCATCCGCGACTCGAGGAGGAAATCGCTGACGATGTCATTCTCCTGCGCGGCCATTCCGCTCCGCTCCTCGATTCCTCCGCCACTCCCTATCGGAAGCTCCATGTCCTCCGCACTGCTCTCCGCTGTCTCCTGCCCCTCAAACTTCTCAACCGTCTCGAACCGGGTCGAACCAATTTCAGTTGGCTCAGCACCGAGCTGCACCGCTCTTGTGCTCCCGTTTTCCTCCAGAGCAACTCCGTCTAGAATACCCCCCTGCGAAGCAGCGGCGGTAGCAGCAGCAGGGGCGGCGACAGCAGCAACGGCAGTATCAACTCCTGAACTAGCCTGCGATAGCCTAGCGGTAGGCCGGGGTAGGGTTGTCTTCAGCACCCAACCCTTTTCAGTCAGCGACCACATCTTGCTCCTCCGCCGACGCCGACCTGATTGGCCGGCAGCATTAGCGGCTTCGTCTTGAGAGGCGAAGATTCCAGGAGATTGCTCCAGTCCTTCTGCTAGGGTTCTCCATCCAGACTTGTCCTTCTCGTCCTCCGTCGTCGTTCCGTTTACTGTCGCGCCGTCTCCTCTTGACGACAGCACGAAAGTGGAAATCTCGGAGGAATCTGAATTCTGGTTTTCCACGGGACGCCATTCGAGGGAGGTTGGAGAAATGTGCGTTCCCGAGTTACCAGGAGATTCACCAGGTGCATCCGTTTCAGGGAATCTGCTAGACGAAGAGGGAGGATTAACTGATACGCGGTCGTTAATCGCGACAGCCAAGGGGTCGACAGTGGCTCTACGACCTTCGCGAACAGACTGACATTTCGCGGACCTCTCGTTACCTTTCGCCAGTCGCACCAGCTGGCGTTGAGAGGCTCGTCCAGACTGGAGGAACTCGCTCTGACTAAGATCCAGAGGAGCGTGCGCTGGAGCTGAGAGGAGCGATAGCCTTAGCGAACCCATGACATTCGACGCCATGGATTCGGTAACGCTTAGGCTGTCTCTGACTTCGTCTGAAAGTTGATTATCTCGAGGTTGTGCGGGTTCTCACTTTGGGTGGGGGAGTGGTTGAAACCTGGAGCCTTGAAAATGACGGTCATGCCGAATTCTGGTTACCCTGACGAAACGTGCGAGGCACTGGCCTTGTCGAGCGTGGTTTTGTTCAAATCATTTCGTCAAGGCTCGTGCAAGGGATACTTTCGCGATCCCCGGAGGTTGACGGGAATTCTACATCGAATTAGTGACCGCCACGACGGCGACTGGAGGCTCCAAGCTACGTGGAGAAAGGGCCACACAGCCAATCAGGGCTCCGCTTTCGCGATGCATCCAGATTGCTCCAGTTTCGCTTCTTGAAGATAGCTCATTCATCTTCGCTGTTATGCAACCTGATTATCCACTGAAATACCTCAACCACTCACATATATACAAACGAGCAATCACTTTGTTTGATAGCTCCTTGCAGCATCCCATGCCTTGAACTCAGCTAGCTTTAGCTTTCTCTCCTCAGAACTCATTTGCAATATCTTCTTCGAAAATTCCTCTCCACTTGGTTCTCCAGCCCAAGCAGCCATGCGTACAAACATTTCTTCTTTCACATTCGTCGATGCCGTTGGGTGTTGCTTCTGTTGACATACCTCCACTCGTTGCTTAAGCAGCTGCCGTGGTGGATGTCGCCTTGCCGAAGCCTCCTCTCCTCCCTCTCTACTCCTTTTCCGAGAATCCGTTTTCTTTTCCTGCTCTTTGTGTGCATCTCCCTTCCTCTTCCTTCCACCAACACCCTCGGCCACCACTCCACACTTGCCCCCAACTCCCGTCCTCGCCCCACTCCTCTTCCTCTTCACTGATCCTGCCGTCTGAACCCGTTCCTTTATTGAACGTGACAAAGTGGAGGGCTTGACCGAGGCAGGAGGAGGGCGAGACAAAGGGCGGGGCTCGGTGGTTGAATGATCATCCAAAAATGCAGCAGCCAATGGCGTGACGGTCCTGGAGCCATGGTGGCCCCTGATGACGTCATCATTCACATGGGTGTATGCCACACCAGCATCAAGAAGCTCGTCTGGTATCGACCCCATGCCATAGTCATCATGACCTATACCATGTACATCATGCCCCATGCCATGTGCATCATGACCCATGCCATGTGCATCATGACCCATGCCATGTGCATCATGCCCCATGCCATGTGCATCATGACCATCATGCCCCATGCCATGTGCATCATGCCCCATGCCATGTGCATGACCACTCATCCCCTCCTGCCCTCCTTGATGCCCCTTCACACCATCACTCTCCCCCCCACTATCCTCAATCTCATCCTCTTCCTCCTCCTCCCCATCCCTGTCTCCTCTCCCCTCCAAACCTTCTTCCCCCTCCCTACCCTCCTTTCTCCCCTTCCTCCTCTCACACTTCACACGTCCCTTCCCTCTGCCCTTCTGCGTCCATAAACCAGGCACCTCTCTCGCTTCTACTAGTCTAGCCAGCCCACTCACCCCATTGTCCTCCTCATCCTCCTTCCTCCCCTTCACCCTACCGGCTTTCACCATCAATTCCTCTCTCTTGCTTGCCAAGCCAAGCCCTTCGCCTCGTTCTGCACTCGCAAATCCTGGATTCCCCTCCAGCCTGTGCTCCCCAGGTGCTTCAGGTGATATGCCAGGTGATTCAGGAGACTCCCCAGGTGTTTCAGGTGCGATGCCACCATCAGGCACCTGCACCACAAGCAGATCATCTTCGTCCTTTTGCGAATCACAGTGCGGCTTTTCCCTCATAACCGAGGGCGCTTCAGAACTCTTATTTCTTCTCTTTTCCACCTCCTCCTGGCGCTTTCTATCTACATTCACTTCTTTCTCATCCTCCCGTCCCTGCTCCTCCTGCTGCTTTTCCTGCTGTTGCTGCCTCTGCGGTTGCCTCGCTGCCTTGCCAATGATCTCCGCTGATAGAATGCTCGTGCTGCGGTCTTGAAACAGGTTCGCCACTCCAAATAGCTCCCCCTGGTGGGATTTGAAGCCCTGAGGGAGAGACACAGAGAGATCAGTAGAGAGGAGATTTTAAGACATGTATGTATCAGAAGCTGATAGAATGCTCGTGCTGCGGTCTTGAAACAGGTTCGCCACTCCAAACAGGTCCCCTTGGTGGGCCTTGGAGCCCTGAGCAGGCGACAAAAGAGGGATAGAAAGGAGCGGATTGCCTCATAAGGGAGTTTACAGAATCGAAGATTACCCGCATACTTCCCCTCCCTCGTGATGATTATGACGCTTTCAAGAATTTAGTAAAATAGTGGCAGAAGTGGCACTCATTCGAGGTGAGTACTAGATCATGATCTTCTAGAATCTCTTACTTTCGAAATTCTATAGTGATCTTTCTTTAGTGACCTTTTCACCCCAACGATCACGACACTGTTGTCTTCTTCAAATGTCGGAGGATTCACCAATATTGCCATGCCGTCACAGGGGAGTGAAGAGAAACCGGAAGTCCACTCCCCTCACACCCACCTGCACGCCTGTGAAGTATCGGTTTTCCTTTCCGTGGCCCCTTCGATCGCGATGTTGGTCTGCTGCTGCTTGTACACCTGCCGCAGATACACCACCTCCTCCACTGCGCCTTCTCTCCCTGTGCTCCCCTGGTCCAACCCCTTGCATCAACTTTACAGCCACCCCTGCTCACCTGCACCCCAGTGAAGTATCGCTGCTCTGAAGCCCCTTCGATCGCGATGTTGGTCTGCTGCTGCTTGTACACCTGCCGCAGATACACCACCTCCTCCACTGTCCCTCCTGCCACTAGCCGGTACACCGACACGTGCCGCGTCTGCCCGAATCGGAAGGAGCGATCCTGAGCCTGTGAGAGGCGTGAGGGGGAAAGAACAGGGGTGTAATGAGAGCATTTAAAATGGAGGGTAGATACACCACCAGCTCCACTGTCCCACCTATACCCTTCCACCAGCCTATACCCTTCCACCAGCCTATACCCTTCCACGAGCCTATACCCTTCCACCAGCCTATACCCTTCCACCAGCCTAAACCCTTCCACCAGCCTAAACCCTTCCACCAGCCTATACCCTTCCACCAGCCTATACCCTTCCACCAGCCTATACCCTTCCACGAGCCTATACCCTTCCACGAGCCTATACCCTTCCACGAGCCTATACCCTTCCACGAGCCTATACCCTTCCACGAGCCTATACCCTTCCACGAGCCTATACTCTTCGAAGCAGCCCTCACAACCCTCCTCACCTGTAGATCGTGAGCCGGGTTCCACGTGGGATCCAATATGATCACCCGATTCGCGCTAACTAAGTTGAGACCGATTCCTCCTGCCTTGGTGGAAATGAGGAACACCTGAAGAGTGAGAGAAGGGGGGAGAGAAGTGGGACAGGCACAGGACAGGGCAGAAACAGAGTCACTGCGTAGGCACAAAGCCGCACTCGCTTCGAGGGGCAGGAGCCGAATTCGTGCACAGCATGAGAGTCGGGCCGTTGCAGTGGAGCCTGGCATGTTTAGTTTTGAGACGTCTCAAAACTAGATCACTTCACGCGGATTTTGAGACGTCTGAACACTCGCTTCGAGGGGAAGGAGCTGAATTCGTGCACAGCATGAGAGCTGGGCGTGTTGCAGCGGAGCCTGGCGTGTTCAGTTTTGAGACGTCTCAACACTCGCTTTGAGGGGGGGGGGGAGTCGAATTTGCACACAACATAGGGCCTGGTGCATTGCTGTGGAGGTGGAACAGTTAACGCGAGGGGTTGGTGTTGCTGTCAAGGCAGGAGGAGTGTTTGTGTACACATGATACAAGTAAGCCTCACCTGTATGGAGGGCTGGAGAAAAGGTGTGTAGAGAAGGGGATACGGTGAGCCTCACCTGTATAGAAGGGCTGGAGTTGAAACCGTGCACGAGAGCCTGTCTCGTGGCAGTGGAGGTGGAGCCGTCGAGTCGAGAAAATGAGATCCCTCGGGCCTCTAGAAACCGCTGAAGCACGTCCAGCATTCTGGGAGGCGAGGGAGGCAAGGGTTGGAGGGAGCACGGAGCAGGGCGAGCGTGATTAGTGGTGGGTTGAGAAGATGAATGGACCTCTGGCCTCTAGGAAACGCTAAAGCACCCATAGCTTGACCATCTTCGACTCGCTTTGACTTGCTTGACTATAAATGGCAAAACAGCAGCACTATAACTCGCCTCCCACACCACTGCCACAGCAGCCGATCCAGCGCCGCAGTTTGACCCTCTTTGACTTGCTTTGACTCACTTGACCGAGTGGCTGAACAGCAGAACTTTATCCCCACTCCCACACCACTGGTTTAACAGCCGATCCAGTGCCCGCAGCTTCCCACAGTGCTCGCTACTGCCAAGTGTCAGAAGATCACTCGCCTCCCGCACGCCGCCCGCCAGGTCAGCATCGCCGGCCAGCGCCAGCCTGGCGAAAGCGAGATCTCTTGCTTGCTTGTCCGGAGGGTCCCTGGGGTTGGGCTTTAGCAGCTCCAAGTGGTTGCTGATCTGCAGAGAGGAGAGGTGGAGGGAGAAGGGGAGGAAGGGCATGGAGCAGGGTTAACACGAAGGTGAAGGTTGAGATGTAGAGAAGGAGAATGCGGGATTGTGAGATGCTTGAGAGACAGTACCATTCTCAACATGACCCACCTGCTGCAGCTTTGACAGGCAGGGGAAGAGCACGCAGAAGGGGCAGTGCAGCTTCTGAGGCATGTCAGAAATCATTAACTCCTTACCACACAGCCACCCACCCACACACCTGCTGCAGCTTGGAGAGGCAGGGGAAGAGCACGCAGAAGGGGCAGCGCGGGCAGCAGAGGCCGTCCAGGTGAAGGGACGACCACAGCACGCCTCCCCCACCCATCTCCTCGCCCCCGTCCCCTTTATGGTGGCACTCGCTGCGCTTCCTCGGCCCGCCACAACTGTTGGAGATACAGGGGCAGAGGAGCGGGGATGCAAGCACAAAGGATTGGGATGGAGGGACGACCACAGCACCCCTCTCCCCCAATTCTCCTCGCCCCCATCCCCTTTATGGTGGCACTCGCTGCGTTTCCCCGGCCTGCCACAGCTGTTGGAGATACAAAGACAAAGGAGGACGGTTACAAAATGAAGGGCCGTATCAATCTGCATTACGCCCTCCCCTCCTCTCTATCTTCCCCTCTTCCCTCCCCTCTGTCTTCCCCTCTCCCTTCCCCCACCCCTCTCCTCGCCCCCGTCCCCTTTATCGTGGCACTTGCTGCGTTTCCTCGGCCCGCCATAGCGTTTAGAGAACAACAAGCCTAACATCGTAACAGCGCAATGGTAATGGTAATGCTTGTTGGTGGGATGTTGGGCTGTTGCGTAACAGCATAATAGCTTGACATTACTACTACCAATACCATTACCATCATCACTACCACTACCACTACCATTATCATTACCATTACCATTACCATTATTATTACTATTACCATTACCCTTACCATTACCATTACCACTACCGTTACCACTACCATCACCATTACTATTACCAGTATCATTACCATTACCATTGTCAGTATCATTACCATCACCATTACCACTACCACAACCATTTTCATTTCCACTACCATTATCATTACCATTACGACTACCACTACTACTACTATTACGACTACCACTGCCTCTACCATTGCTATTCCCAACACCACTACCATTACCATTATCATTACCATTACCACTACTACTGCTATTACTACTGCCACTGCCACTACCATTACCATTACAAATACCATTATCATTACAACTATCATTACCATTAACATTAACTACTACCATTATCATTATCATTACCACTACCATTACCCCATTACCACTTCCATTACCATTCCCACTACCATTACCATTACCACTACCATTAAAATTACCATTAACACTACCATTATCATTACCACTACTATTACCATTTCTATTAACATTACCACTGACAGCCTAACAGCCTAACAGCCTAACAGCCTAGCAGCCTAGCAGCCTAGCAGCCTAACAGCCTAGTAGCCTAGCAGCATAACAACCTAACAGCCCAGCTGCCTAATAGCCCAACAGCCCAATAGCCTAGCAGCCTAACATCCTAACAGCCTAGCACCCTAACAGCCTAGCAGCCAAACAGCCAAACAACCTAACAGCCAAACAGCCTAACAGCCTAGCAGCTTAACAGCCTAACAGCCTAACAGCCTAACAGCCTAGCAGCCTAGCAGCCTAGCAGCCTAACAGCCTAACAGCCTAACAGCGTAACAGCCTAAAAGCCTAACAGCCTGACGGCCTTACAGCATACAGCGTAACATCCTAACAGCTTAACAACGTAACAGAGTAACAGCCTAACAGCCAAACAGTCTAACAGTCTAACATCGTAACAGCGGAACAGCCTAAGAGCCTAACAGCGTAACAGCATAACAGCGTAGCAGCGTAACAGCGTAACAGCCTAACAGCGTAACAGCGTAACAGCCTAACAGTCTAACAGCGTAATAGCCTAACAGCGTAACAGCCTAACAGCCTAAAGCGTAACAGCATAACATCGTAACAGCCTAACAGCCTAACAACGTAACAGCCTAACAGCGTAAAAGCGTAACAGAGGAACAGCGTAACAGCCTAACAGCGTAACAGCATAACAGCGTAACAGCTTAACAGCGTAACAGCCTAACAGCCTAACAGCCTGATAGCGTAACAGCCTAACAGCCTAACGACATAACAGCGTAACAGCCTAACAGCGTAACAGCCTAACAGCCTAACAGCGTAACAGCATAACAGCGTAACAGCCTAACAGCGTAACAGCCTAACAGCGTAACAGCGTAACAGCCTAACAGCATAGCAACGTAACAGCGTAACAGCCTAACAGCGTAACAGCGTAACAGCCTAACAGCGTAACAGCATAACAGCCTAACAACTTAACAGCGTAACAGCGTAACAGCGTAACACTCTAATAGCCTAACAGCCTAACAGTGTAACAGCCTAACAGTGGAACAGCGTAATAGCGGAACAGCCTGACATCGTAACACCGTAACAACGTAATAGCGTAATAGCCTAACAGCCTAACAGCCTAGCAGCCTAACAGCGTAACAGCCTAGCAGCCTAGCAGCCTAACAGCGTAACAACGTAACAGCCTAACAGCGTAACAGCCTAACAGCGTAACAGCGTAAAAGCCTAACAGCGTAACAGCCTAACAACCTAATAGCGTAACAGCCTAACAGCGTAACAGCGTAACACCCTAACAGCCTAACAAACATAACAACGTAACAGCCTAACAGCGTAACAGCCTAACAGCGTAACAGCATAACAGCGTAACAGCCTAACAACGTAACAGCGTAACAGCCTAACAGCGTAACAGCCTAACAGCATAGCAGCGTAACAGCGTAACAGCCTGACAGCGTAACAGCGTAATAGCCTAACAGCGTAACAGCCTCACAGGATAACAGCCTAGCAGCCTAGCAGCCTAACAGCCTAGTAGCCTCGCAGCCTAGCAGCCTAGCAGCCTAACAACCTAACAGCCCAGCTGCCTAACAGCCCAACAGCCCAATAGCCTAGCAGCCTAACATCCTAACAGCCTAGTAGCCTAACAGCCTAGCAGCCAAACAGCCAAACAGCCTAACAGCCAAACAGCCTAACAGCCTAGCAGCTTAACAGCCTAACAGCCTAACGGCCTAGCAGCCTAGCAGCCTAGCTGCCTAACAGCCTAACAGCCTAACAGCCTAACAGCGTAACAGCCTAACTGCGTAACAGCCTAACAGCGTAACAGCCTAACAGCCTAACAGCGTAACAGCCTGATAGCGTAACAGCCTAACAGCCTAACGACATAACAGCGTAACAGCCTAACAGTGTAACAGCCTAACAGCCTAACAGCGTAACAGCATAACAGCGTAACAGCCTAACAGCGTAACAGCGTAACAGCCTAACAGCGTAACAGCGTAACAGCCTAACAGCATAGCAACCTAACAGCGTAACAGCCTAACAGCGTAACAGCGTAACACCATCAGAGCGTAACAACCTAACACCTTAACAGCTTAACAGCCTAACAGCGTAACAGCGTAACAACGTAACAGCCTAATAGCCTAACAGCCTAACAGCCTAACAGCGTAACAGCCTAACAGCGTAACAGCCTAACATCGTAACAGCGTAACAACGTAACAGCGTAATAGCCTAACTGCCTAACAGCCTAGCAGCCTAACAGCCTAACAGCCTAGCAGCTTAGCAGCCTAACAGCGTAACAGCATAACAGCCTAACAGCGTAACAGCCTAACAGCGTAACAGCGTAACAACGTAACAGCCTAATAGCCTAACAGCGTAACAGCCTAACAGCGTAACAGCCTAACATCGTAACAGCGTAACAACGTAACAGCGTAATAGCCTAACCGCCTAACAGCCTAGCAGCCTAACAGCCTAACAGCCTAGCAGCTTAGCAGCCTAACAGCGTAACAGCATAACAACCTAACAGCGTAACAGCCTAACAGCGTAACAGCCTAACAGCGTAAAAGCGTAACAGCGTAACAGCCTAACAGCCTAGTAGCATAACAGCCTAACAGGATAACAGCGCAACAGCCTAACAGCCTAAAAGCGTAACAGCCTAACAGCGTAACAGCGTAGCAGCCTAGCAGCCGAACAGCCTAACAGCGTAACAGCATAATAGCGTAACAGCCTAACAGCCTAACAGCGTAACACCATAATAGCCTAACAGCGTAGCAGCCTAGCAGCCTAACAGCCTAACAGCGTAACAGCATAACAGCCTAACAGCGTAACAGCGTAACAGCCTAACAGCATAATAGCCTAACAGCGTAAAATCGTAACACCGTAACAGCCTAACAGCCTAATAGCGTAACAGCCTAACAGCGTAACAGCCTAACAGTGTAACAGCCTAACAGCGTAATAGCATAATAACGTAATAGCCTAACGGCCTAGCAGCCTAGCAACCTAACAGTGTAACAGAATAACAGCCTAACAGCATAACAGCCTAACAGCCTAACAGCGTAACAGCCTAACAGCGTAAAAGCGTAACAGCGTAACAGCCTAACAACCTAATAGTGTAACAGCCTAACAGCGTATTAGCGTAACAGCGTAACAGCCTAACAACCTAACAGCGTAACAACATAACAGCCCAACAGCGTAACAGCGTAATAGCCTAACAGCGTAACAGCCTAACAGCGTAACAGCCTAACAACCTAACAGCTTGACATCCTAATAACGTAACAGCGTAACAGCGTAACAGCCTAACAGCCTAACATCCTAACAACCTAACAGCCTAACAGCGTAACAGCGTAACAGCGTAATAGCCTAACAACGTAATAACGTAACAACGTGACAACCTAACAGCCTAAGAGCGTAACGGTGTAACAGCGTAACAGTCTAACAGCCTAACAGCGTAACAGCAAATTAGCGTAACAGCCTAACAGCGTAACAACGTAACAGCATAACAGCCTAACAGCGTAACAGCCTAACAGCCTAACAGCCTGACAGCGTAACAGCGTAACACCCTAACAGCGTAACAGCGTAACAACCTAACAGTGTAACAGCCTAACAGCGTAGCAGTGTAACAGCGTAACAGCCTAACAGAGTAACAGCCTGACAGCGTAACAGCCTAACAGCGTAACAGCTTAATAGCCTCACTGCGTAACAGCGTAACAGCCTAATAGCCTAACAGCTTGACAGCGTAACAGCCTAACAGCCAACAGTTTAACAGCTTTATAGCCTAACAGCCTAACAGCCTAACAACGTAACAGCCTAACAGCCTAATAGCCTAACAACCTAACAGCGTAACAGCCTAACAGCTAACAGCTTAACAGCGTAACAACCTAACAGCCTAACAGCGTAACAGCCTAACAGCCTAACAGCATAACAGCTTAACAACCTAATAGCCTAACAGTGTAACAGCGTAACAGCCTAGCAGCCAATAGCTTAACAGCGTAACAGCCTAACAGCCTAACAGCTTAACAGGGTTTAAATGACTTCCCTGCAAGCTAGAATAGACCCCTAGGCCCCATGTGAACTGCACGGCTCGTCCTTTCGTGAGAGGAGCTGAAAGTCGGGCAGTTTCAAACAGCGCTGATACACCCTCCTGTGGAGTGATTTTCCAGTCCTTTATATACAGGCTACATCAAACCCCTAAACTCCTTCTCACCTGCATGGCTCATCTTTTCGGGAAAGCAGCTGAAAGTCGGGCAGCTTCAGACAGCGCTGGTACACCCTCCTCTGGAGTGACGTCATCGGGCACACCACGATCATGTCGCGCTTTCCTGGAAGCTTCAGCGAGCCCTGCAGGTCATCCTTGTGCCGCCGAAGCAGCACCCGAGCCAGCGCCCGAACCAGCTCCGCCTGCCGAGCCTGCGCCCGAGCCACCAGAGGCTGGGGAGCCCCCTTGCGCTGACCCTGAGGGTGTGGGTTGGGAGAGAGTGAGGTGGGAGGTTGGGAAGGGAAAAGAACAGAAAAGAAAATATATCTCGGGCACACCCACGGAAGCAGGCTCTGCAGCTCTGCTCTGGTCCCTCAGGCCCCTATTCCACCTTTCCACCACCAACCCCCATGCTTACCAGCCTGAGAGGGTCGCTGTATCGCTCGTTGAACTCCTTGAGAGAGCCCAGATAGCCCCGCCGCACCCACTGCAGCACGCTCCAGAGCTCCCGAAACTCGTTCTGCATGACTGTGCCTGACAGACCGTAGCGACGAGCGGTGTTGATGCGATCCGCACACTGGGAGAGGGGACGGGAGGGTAAGAAATGAGAGGAGGGCGAACAGAAGGGGTGGGGACAGAGAAACGCCAGGCGCAACCTTCGGCCACTGCAGCACACTCCAGAGCTCTCGAAACTCATTTTGCATGACTGTGTCTGACAGACCGTAGCGACGAGCAGTATTGATCCAATCAGCACACTGGGAGAGGGGAGGGAGGGCGTGAAGGGCAGGAAGGAAGGGAAGCGCGAGCACAAGGGGTGGTGGACAGAGAATCCCCCGCCGCACCCACTGCAGCACACTCCACAGCTCTCAAAACTCATTTTGCATGACTGTGCCTGACAGGCCGTAGCGACGAGCGGTGCTGATGCGAGCCTCACCATACCTGGAAAAGAGCAGAACTGTAGCATCTTGATTTGTGCACCTCGTCAACTATCGCCATGAGCCACTGGTGCAAGCACAGCGTGTCGCCTGCATGTATTGATAACTCCAAGAAAACCATTTCAACAAACCTGAAGCAAAGCTGAGCTGTAGCTTCTCAGCTTGTGCACCTCGTCCACTATACTTAGGAGCTTACTAAGTCATCTCACCACATACCTGGAACAGCGCTGAGCTGTAGCTTCTGAGCTTGTGCACCTCATCCACAATCGCCATGAGCCACGGGTGCGGGCACAGTGTGTCAGCTGCAACCCGGAACGTGTCGAACGTAGTCAATACGACCTGCAGTGGGGGGGATGATGGGACGAGCCGAATTCGGGATGAGGATAAGTGACTCTCAGCCCATTGTGAGTGCCCTCTGTACCAGAGTTCTGAGGCACCTCAAAAGAGGGCCGCTGTACCAGAGAAGCATCCCAGTGTGAGCAATGGAAGACAGGCATTTGAAAGCCCCCCCACACAGACAGACTCAGCTCCTCCTGCCAGTTGCCACAGCAGCCGAGTGCCAAATGCAGCCCTCACTTGAATCAACCCCTACTTGCTTTGGTTCTGCTGCTGTACTGACACTCACCTCAGCCCACCCTGAGCGCAGCTGCACCAGAGCAGCCTCTCTGTGCGGGCCGTGGAAGATGGAGATTCAGAAGTGCCCCCACCGATTCAGCTCCTCCTGCCAGTTACCACCCCAACCCAAGTGCCCACTGCTACTCTGCACTCACCTCAGCCCACCCTGATTGCAGCTGCACAAGAGCAGCCTCCCGGTGTGCGCCATGAAACACAGAGATTCGGAAGTGCCCCCACCGATTCAGCTCCTCCTGCCAGTTGCCCAGCACTGAGCTCGGCACCACCACCAGTATCGCCCCTCATGCTGCTGTCCCCCCTGCACCTACAACCGGCACTCACCTTGGCCCACCCTGATCGCAGCTGCACCAGAGCAGCCTCCCGGTGTGCGCCATGAAATACAGACACTCGCCAACACCTAGCCCCATCCCACCTAATACTCGCACTCACCTCGGCCCACCCTGATCGCAGCTGCACCAGAGCAGCCTCCCGGTGTGCGCCATGAAACACAGAGATCCGGAAGTGCCCCCACCGATTCAGCTCCTCCTGCCAGTTGCCCAGCACCGAGCTCGGCACCACCACCAGTACTGCCCTCCCTGCTGCTGCCCCTCCTGAATTGTTTCCCCCTTGGCCGGTAACTGTTCCTCTTGCCTCAACAGCTGAATTTACTGCTGCTGTTGTTGATGCAGAAGCAGCTGCTTCTGCTGCAGCTGATATTGAAGCTGCCTGTGCTGATGCTGCTGCAGTCAAAGTAACTGAGGGAGAAACCATGTCTTCAGCCGTGCCTGTCTTTCCCAACACTGCTGCCATCAGTGCTATTGCCTGAATAGTCTTCCCCAAGCCCCTGTGAACACAGCACAAGTTGTTCACACGACACACACAAGTTGTTCACATGAAACAGATTGTTCAACTGGACAATATCTTAACTACCAAAAGATTCTCGAATCTGCAAAATTGACCAGGATCGATATCAAAATTTATTCTCAAGATTCTGGTGCCAAACAGTCACCTTCTTTCACTCACCTTCCCTACATTCACCAACCAGATACTCACCGCTACAGCTCCCACCTTCCAAACACCCATCCTCGATACAGTCACATCACGTACATGTCATCTGCCAGAATGCCGCCCGTATTCTGTCGAAACAGTCGGTACAAGAACCGCACCCCTTCTTTCTGATGCTCCATCAGGTGTCTACTGATAGACGCTGGCACCCTCACCACCTCCTCGTCTCCCTCACTCTCCTTCGCATCTACTGACTCTCCTCCATTCCCCTGCTCGTCCCCACTCTGCGGCCACACCACCAGTCCTTCGTCCCCCTCGGTACTTCCCCACACGCCACCATAACTATCCCAGTCTTCCTCCTTCCTCCTCTCTTCTTCCTCTAAATACTCCTCCCACGCCAGCGCCCTAGCATGCTTCACAGCCACGCTACCACTCCCTCCTCCTGCATCATCGTGCTCTTTTAGATCCCCCCCGTCCTTTCTTGCTCCTGCATACTCTCCTGATTTCCTTCCTCCCACTTCCACTTCCCCTCCAAATCCTTTCGCCCTTTCTCTCAATCCTCCTTCTTTCCCTCCCCTTTTTCCTCCCTCACCTCCCTCTCTTCTCCTCCCTTCCCGTTCCTCTCCTTCCGATCCTACGCCAGCTTCGTCTCTACCCGAGGCTGCTGCCAAAACGGTACCCCGAGCCTCCGCAGCCGTTTCTCCCAATCCTGACGCGTTCGCTGATAACGCGTTCGCCGCAGGGTCGCCAGCGTTTCTCCCCCGGTTTTCTACTCTCGGGAACTCTGGCGGCGTCGCCTCGACTGAACCTGACGTTTTCCGTCCGTCACAGGCTCTAAGCCATGCCGAGAAAACTCGGTCACGTGACGGACACGCCTCTTTAATCGCCTGGCTTTCTTGCCGTTCCTGTGCCTTCTGACTCTCCCAATTCTCCTGAACAGCCTGACTATCCGACAATATACTCCGCCTGCTCTCTACTTGTCCTCGCCTCTCGTCCTCTCGTTTCAGCTCCTCCTCGTCTCCCCTGCATTTGTCGCCTCCTGCCTTTTCTCGGTCCATGCATTCGTCGTCCAGTATACTTCTATCTTCTCCTGCCTTGTCTTGATCTGGACATCGATCAGGCTCACGCGACTTTTGAGGCGCCTCATAAGTCGTCTCATTACCCGCAATTCGTCTATTTCTATCCTCAGCCTTGTCTTGATCTGGACATCGATCAGGCTCACGCGACTCGGGATCGTTCGAGACGCCACTTTTCGAAGGCTTGAAGAAAAAATCGAAAAAATCATCGGTCGAAACCATGCTCATTAAAAAACTCGGGAGTATCAACTGGTAAAAGCATAAGCGGAAGTCCACGCGTCTACTAATTGGAATGCATATCTGACAGCATAGGCTATCTCGAAAAGCTCACATAGACTACTAGTATAAGTCGAGAGTTAAGAATATTACGTGACCTAGACGCAACACTAAGTCACGTAATACGCTGTTGAATACACTAAGACGTGTGAAACAGGTCTGCGTAGGCGATCTTGAATAGAGCTCGATGAAATATATTGTGCGGTAGTTCTCAGACCAGTGAGACTGTCGCGACTCGCGATGCCTTTCTGTCAGGTTTGTCCATTCAAAATCAGTCATCGAACCTCCGAGATGTATTCGGTATAAAACGGACGGATAATCATACGGAGCTTTTGTTTGTAGGTGTAAGGAAATTCCCTTTTCCTTACTTCGCGTCCCTGCTCAACGCGTACATCACTGTAGCACCTCAGTCAGCACCGTTACCACTCACGACCATCGCATCATTCATCATCCCGCCCTTTTCGCACATCGCATCCGGACCTCACGGCTCGGCAAGTAACCCGCGCTCCGGGCCTACGCTTCGACACTTTCCCAACCTCAGTCACAGGCTCGTCGCGCGACCATTACCGTTACCACTATAGTTTCACTATATAATGTTCGCTCATGCCTTCGCTCGATTGTATTCTTGCTTCGATAGTGCAATTCTCGTTCGTTCACTCAATTGCACTCGTAACACTTGGTATTCAGAGCCTACGATCTCATCTCGGACCGCATCCACACCTTCGCTTCCCACTATCTCAATTTTTGGGGGGGGGGTAGACGTCTCTCAGCGACACAGCACCGCCGCTCGTAGTGCTCTCTCGAAAGCACGCACGGTCACGACCGAGGCTCTCGCTGAGCTTGCCCGACACCCCCGCCATGGCCGATTTCAATCTCGCCACGTTGACGCAGGAGCAACTCGATCGTCTCGTGCGTCAATTGGAGGATTCGGCGCTCGAAATCGCGACTCTCACGGCGGAAAGTGACTCCGCCCGTCAACAGTCAACGGTGAACGTACCGACGACATCACACGCACAAACCAATGCATCTGCACATTTGGAGGAGCCCATCGTCATCTCATCCGGCACACCAACGCAACACAACAGCACGGGACAGCGCTCAGGCGCAGCCAGTGACGGCGCAGCCCAACCGATGCCCGGCATGGGAGGGAACAGGAGCGCATTAAGCCCACGGGAGCCCCGAGAAGCCCGTCGGCACGTGGAGTTTGCGGCGACAAGTGGCGAGAACGCCATGATGGCCCCAATGCCACTCAAGCCGCAACGCCCGCCCTGCTTCGACCCAAGCCAACGCGGCGGCCCGACAGTTCAATCGTGGGTCTTCACGATGAATGTGTTTTTCGACGCCAACTACGTCGAGTCGGACGCCGCCAAGATCCGGTATGCGGTTTCACTACTCAGGGGCCCCGCCATGGACTGGTGGCGAGTCATTGTGACGTCGCCGCGCGCCTACGAGCCACCGTCGCACGAGGAAGGGCCCTCGGGTCCAGCTGTTACCTGGAGTTCGTTATGCGAAACCGCCCAATACAGCACGTGGGATGCGTGGTGCGCAGGACTTCGGGCGCGCTTTGAGCCGATCGCGGCCTCGATTTCGGCGCGTCGGAAACTGCGCACTTGGCGCCAGCTCAGGTCAGTTCAAGACTACACCAGCGGGTTTCTCGCACTTTGCGAACAGGTCGGCTACATGCACGAGGCAGAGCGGGTGGACCGTTACGTCGGAGGGCTGAAGCCGGACATCTCGCACGAGATAATGCTACGCGGGCTCTCGAATTTCAACGAGATCCTCGCGCTCGCCGAGAAAATCGATATCCTACGCCGACCGAGACCGGGGTCCTATTACGGACATCGTCCTCGGGGACCGACCGAGCACGCCACTGTACATGCCGTCGCAGCGAATGCAGCTGCCGCGCCGTTTAGAGGGCGCTGCTTTGCTTGCAACCAGCCGGGCCATCGCAAGAGCGAATGTCCAGAGGAGCTGAGGCGTCGAGGAGCAGAGCAGGGGAGGGAGTCTCGGAGGCAGGGAAACGCCAGCAGTCAGTAGAAGTTGGGCCAACTACTGACGAGACTGCCTGCTCGCCCAACCACACCGACCCTCACCGAGTCACAGTACCGATTCACGCCATCGATCGGGCTCGGATGAATAAGGAGGGTACAGCGACGGATTGCCCGGTACTGATCTACGGGAAAATACAGGGAGCAGCAATGAAGATCTTCATTGACGGAGGAGCAAGCCACAGCTTAGTTAATACCGCAACCGCACGAAAATTACAGTTAACGCTTAACCGATGTTTACCTGAGATAGATGCACGCTTAGTCGACGGCACGCCTCTGGCCATACGGGAAAAGGTGGAGCGCGTAAAAGTCCGTTGCGGGGGGAACTTCGGGTTTACACAAGAAATGCTCGCGACGACACTGGATGGGCACGACATTTTATTGGGACGTGATTGGCTGCGACGGTACAACCCACGGATCGACTGGACGACGGAGAGCTGCACAGTGCGAAGTAGTGGTAACTGGGTCGTTCTACCTCGCTGGCAGCCACCCAAATCTTCGACGGTCCAGGTCAACGCCATCACGATGAAACGGGCTGTCGCTGCTGGAGCTGACGTGTACGCAGTGGATATCGCACTCGTAGAAAAAGATGAGCAGCCGAGTGATTTGGAGAAACTGCTGGCAACTGTACCGACCGAACTACAGGCACTACTGAAACAGTTCCCGGGGATATTTCCGGATGATTTACCACAGGGACTGCCACCTCAGCGGGCGCACGACCATAGGATCGAGTTAGAACCGGGGGCACAGCCAACTGTATGTGAGAATAAGCGAATAGGAATGGATGAACTAGCAGTGAAAATGAGTACAAGTAGGAAACCCTAGAATTGTGTACCCCCTATAGGCTAACCCACTGTAGCCTACACAAGCAGAACATATATAATGTTTGACACACCCCCATAGGCAAAGTGGGGGAGAACAAGGGGTCACAAGACCAGTCAAGCAAAGCAAAGCAAGCTCAGGGTGGATCACAAAGTCACCACACAGTCCGAGCACAAGAGCAGGGCCAGAGGCCAGTTCACATGCAGGAGTACAGACATATATATAAAACTAGACAAGCAAGAGCAGGTATATATATATGTCACAGTACAAGTGAAGTCAAGAGGAGAGCAAGTGAGGCAAGACAGGCACAAGACCCAGCTGGGTGCAAAAGCGCTGATGGTCACAAGGCGCGAGTGCCTTGGTGAACACATCAGCAGTGTTGGCCTCAGAGGCCACGTATGCAAGTCGCAACTGACCACGCTGCTGCAGCTCACGAGCAAGGAAGTAGCGGAGAGCAATGTGCTTCGTTCTGTGCTCCAAGCGCTGCTCTCGACACAAGGCCAGCATGGCCTTGTTGTCTACGTACAGCACTGGAGGAGAACGAGGTGGCTCTCCAAGGTCAGTCAGCAGGTAGGTGAGCCAGCGAAGCTCCTGTGCAGCCATGGCCCCGGCGTAGATCTCAGCCTCACAACTGGAGCCGAGAACCGAAGACGAGCGAGTAGACCGCCACGAGACAGAGCCGGAACCAAGGCTGAAGGTGTAACCCTGTGACGACCGCTGCGTAGCCTGGTCGTCAGCCCAAGAAGCGTCCGCGTGGCCGGTAAGGACCACTGGACTCCGCCCTCCAAGCACTAGCCCCATGCCCGACGTACTGCACAGGTAGCGCAATACCCTCTTCGCTGCAGCCATGTGCTCTGGTCTGTGTCTCCCAGGAGCAACATAGCGTGCAAGAATGCTCAGAGGGTATGCAAGGTCAGGTCGTGTGCAGGTCATCAGGTACATGAGGCAGCCAACAAGCTCTGCATACGGACCACTCGACTCTACGCACTCATCCGAAGGCAGAGCTGAGAGTGAGTGGCGAGTAGGCAGAGGAGTGGCCTGAGGCGAGGAGTACGTGAAGCCAAAGCGCTGAAGGACCTGCTGCACCATGTGTGACTGAGTCAAGGTAATGGTGCGGCGTGCTCTGTCCCGAGTGATCTGCAAGCCAAGGTAGCTGCGCATTTCACCCAGGTCAGTGCACGTGTGTCTCTTCAGCAGTTCGGACTTCACGTAGGCGAGTCCAGCAGTGTCCGCTGTGGCAAAGACCAAGTCGTCGACGTACACGAGGATGTAGAACGGCGGCAGTGAAGTGTCGGTGCGCAGAAACAGCGACGGGTCAGCAGTAGAAGGAGCAAACCCAAGAGCCGCAAGCGTAGTCCTCAGTGTGTCGTGCCACTCAGCAGGTGCCTGGCGGAGACCGTAGACTGGCCGTCGGAGGCTCCACTGGGTGCCAGGAGGGAAAGTCCCAGTGAAGCCAGGTGGACGGCGCAGCCAGATCTCCTCGTGCAGGCTACCCTGCAGGAACGCAGTGCTGAAGTCGAGAGAGTGAAGCTCGTAGTCGCGCTGAGCGGCTATGTGTAGCAGCACCCGAAGAGTGGTCATCTTCGGGGTGGGAGAGAAGGTCTGAAAGTAGTCAACTCCCTGCCGCTGACTGAAGCCACGAGCAACGTACCGTGCCTTGAAGACAGGTGGAGAGCCCGGCGGCCGCTTCACCCTGAAGATCCACATGCCACTGACGATGTTCGCCCCAGGAGGGGGAACCACGTCAACGTAGGTGCCTGTGGACTTCCAGGAAGCCATCTCTGCATCCATAGCTGCCTGCCACTGAGAGGAGTAGGGACCCTCTACGGCCTCCGC